GGCCTGCTTCGAGGCAGTAAATCTTGTTTCTTCACTCGAGGTGACCCCTACATTTTATTTTATTTATCTATTTAGCTCGTAACTGTGACCTCAGTGCCTATCTTTCATTTCTGTACTCATTTGGAATGAAGAAAAAAACAAAAAATCCTTGAATTCTTGATTTAACCTGATTATTCTGCACAAAATTTAACTGACTCAAAGATGTTTGGAGCATTTTTAGGTACTGTTTTATATATTTAAAAAGTGGACAGTACATTTTCAGAAACTTTAAACTTGACTGAGTTCCAGCCGTTAGCTCTGACAGCCATCCTGCAGGGCTGACTCCAGAACTTAAAGATGTGCTTCTGATWACTTTGAGTTTTATTCAAATCTGTTCACTGAGGGATTGTGTCAGTATTACCAACTAATGAATGCACACAGACTAAACTGCTTTAGTGTTTGAGTGAGAAGTAAAGTTGTGTTTGCAGCCTCCTACCTTGTGTTTCAGGTGCATTTCTCAGCAGATGATCTCTCTGCAGCCTCAGAGCTGTGGAGCAGTACACCGTCACCAGTGTGTCACAGCGAGGGCGGAGCAACAAGCTGAGGACCCTCTCCTCTGTCAGAGGTCCGTCTCTGGCTGCCCACAGAGCTTCACACAGCAYCTCCAGATGTTTGTTACTCATCTGGCTCCATGGTACCAGAGCCAGCACTGAGTAAACCTCCTCCACCCTCCGAGCTCTGCTTCCAGGCCTCTCCAGCTGCTTCATCAGGTGCTGGATGAAGATGTACTGCAGAGGACARCCTTCAGTCCATGCAGGCTGAGTCTATAGGGAATATAAGTACAGGTACACTCATCAGTCACTGTATCAGCTCCACTTGTTCAGCTGGTYGTTAACACAAGAGATAAATCAACCAATCACAYGGCAGCAGCTGAATGATTTACTGAAGTTCAAACCAGACAGAAAGAGGAAGAAAGAGGACTGAAGTCACTGGATGTGGTGTGGTTGTTGGAGCGACACAGCCTTGTCTGAGTAAATCACAAACTGCTAACATACTGGATTTGAGTACACAACCATCTGTGGCATAAAGAGAAAGCTCCATAAAAGAAAATATATCCAGTGAGTGGCATTTGTCTGAACACTGAACGACTTCAGAGGAGAATGGACAAACTGGTTCTGCAGAATCCCATATCTCTGGGTTAAATATAAACACTTATATTCATGCTGTTCAATGTATTTATTAGAATAATTTGTTCGGTTTGGGAAGCAGCATGCAGCATATGCATTCACACAAAATGTGTGGATTATATTTTGAAAGAAGGGTTAAAAACAACACAGTGAAGCAGTTTCAAGTGTTTCCAATCCATCTTACACAGAATGAGTTATTTCAACTGGACTTTCACATTTATCATTGGCTTTACTGCACAATGTCAGCTGGCCTGTGTATGCTGAGTAACGTCTGTAAAATTCAAGTTGTGCTTGAGTTTACCTGTAAAAAATGTGCTAACGTCTGAGCAAGCCTTGGCTTCTTTTTCTCAAGCAGGATCTGAAGAGAAGACTCGACAGCAGYGACATTTGTTCTTTCCTCAAACTGTGACACCAAGAAAGCCTGATGTAGTTCCTGAAACATTAAATTATTATTAATGAAAGAAAAAAATACATGAGTCAATATCAAAATAAAGACTAGCATTCCTTGAAGAAATACATTTAGTCTGCTGCCTTTCATTTCAGAGTTTTAGACTAAAATCATCTTATTAGAGAAATGACAGAGTTGTATCTCAGGCATGATGTCACACTAACAGCTCATGTTCCTGCATGATTCTCAGCTACCAGCAAATTAAACTGTACATAAATATGTGTAAAAGAGTTTCRCAGCAGGTAGTAATGATGAATGAATATGAATAATAATAAAACACACTTTAAGAGCAGTGTCTGGTATGCCCTCTGACCCCAGCTCCTCCAGGAGGAGCAGGAACTCCAGTTCCTGTTTGATGTGAGGAGAAATCTGAAACAAGACAAAAACAGTAAAAACACTTACAAAAAGTCTACATGTATGAWAAGACAGTGGTACTGAAGACTAATCAATCCCAAACAAACAGGTTTCATATCAGGGCAGCAATCATGTTATATAATGAGACATTCTGCTGAATGAAYACAGCAAACAGAGGCTGTGCTTCATGCACGGATCACGATGYGGATACAGGAATTTATTTTTCTTTTAACACTCTGAGATCRGCAAAGCTGTGATGCTTTCACAGGGCTTCTGTAAAAAACAGTGAGCTGATTGGACAGCACGGACTTCAAACTTTATAAAAGTAATGTTAAAACCACATTTAATGATGAATAATTTTTACCATAATATGCACATTTACAAGACGTTTTGTGACCAGGAAGTGCGACTGCACCATGAAACCTATTTTTCCCATTTCCTCAAACACACCATATTTTTTTTTTTTTTGGAGAAAAAGAAGAAAAAAGAAAAAAGTGAAATGCATTGAGAAAGAGTGAAAAAGAGATTAGAA